GGCATATTCAAGTGTTTCTAAAAGATCATAGCTTTTAAGAGGGCCAGTTAATACCTTGCTTACTATATAGTTCAGGGAAAAGATTATTGTGAGCTGGACCAAAGGCAAGGCAAAAGGGATGGAAAGAACAAACTGAAGAAGTATCCAGGTAGAATATCAACAAGATTTGATGATTTACTTGATGTAAGGGATAAAAAAAAAATCTAAAAATGGCTCTAGTTCTCACGGTCAGCAGATGGGTGGTGATGCCAGCCACCAAGATGAGGAATAACGGGGGAGAAAGAGATTTAGAACAGAACATGGCAAATTTTGGACAGAGTTTGATGTGCCTGTGAATTATTAAGTGACAATGTGTAACACATGGTGCAGAGCATAGAAGCACGCATGGGAATTATCTACCTAAAGACCGAACTGAACTACTAGAAATAAGAGAGAAACTGGGGAAGAGCAGAAGGCTAAGCCTCAGAGCAGGTGAGATGGCTCCATGGAGAAGGCCCTTCTACACAAGCCTGATGACCTGAGTTGTGGCATGCACATGTGTGTATTCGCACACATACAAAATAAATAACTTTTTTTTTTTAAACAAAAGGACTGCAAAGCTCCCAACTGAGATAGCTGGACAGAGAGAAGAGAGAGCAACGGAGATGTTTAGCTCTTAATAAGCTACTGGCTTCTACTTCTACCATGTATAAAAACTAAAGGGTCACTGTGAAGAAGAGATGAAGAAAATGGCAAGTACAGACTAATAAGTCTGAGACTGAGATCTCAATGGAAAGGTGAAAAGAAGCTTTGTGTGAGTCTATACTTAGAAGTACGCCTGTCACATGAGGCTGCTCAAATAAATATGGCTTTCCAATGGTAGGTTGTCTGTCATTTTTGTTGAATAAAGACTCCTCTAAGAGTATCTTTATGCTCCAAAGAAACTACTTTCAATATGAATTTTAATTACAATGAATCATATTAATAATAAAAGTCAGGTAAGGATGGAAAGCTGAGTACATTATAAATGGCTTGGTTTCTTTTTTAAATTGAAATTAACTACTAGCACTCTTGAAAATTAACTTTTCCTTAGATATCAAGTCTCAGATTATCCTATAAACCTTTAAGTTAAGAATAGTCTTATAAAAGCTGTGTCCAGAAAAGTTTATCTCTGATACTAGAAATCTTCCTTTGAAGCCTCATCTTATAGAAGAGACTACATTAAAGAACAGGATAAAAAGGCACCATCAGGAAAGTTGTATGTGCTGACAAGATGAATTCATAAAATAAGTCTTAAAATCCAAAAGGAGTTCACAATTAACCAGTTTCCAGTGGACACTAAAAGCAGAAATAACTGGTTTTGAAACTTGTCTCTGTTGTGGAATATCATGTTTCTCAAACCCAAAAGGTTTCACCTGTAAGACAGGAGCACATATCACAGAAACATTAAGAGGACCATGAGACAACATGACAGTTTTACTATTTTAAGTAAAATTAATATAATTCATCACAGATATTTTCTTTACTTCTATTAAATATAAGGAAACATGCATGTCAGATGTGTTAGATATACAAAGTGAGGAAAATAATTTTAAAAAATCAAGATACTATTCCAAACCAATCTACTTATTGGTATAAGGTGTAATTATGTCTTAAAATTATCTGGATTCTAACACATTATATACACACTGCTTTCTCAAAATAGCCCATATTTCAGAAAATCTCTGTATGTTTTATTTTACATAAAACAGACATAGCACAAGGAATTCCAAGTGTGATATATGTAAGGAAAAATGCAGGGGGTTATCTAGTCTAGGAGTTGGAAAGGCTCAGCGAAGCCTTCTCTGGAGAAGGCAAGTTTAAATGGAGACGTGAATGACAGACAGGAGAAAGCTACAGACTAGCACACTGGTATGCTCAAAGCAAAGGCAAGTAATTTTGAGAATTCAAATGTTTCCCTAGCCTCTGTGAAATAACATTTTAAAAATTGTTTTTCAACAGTTATGGCTAATACAAGAATTACAATTATATCCTATTTTAGAAATGTATAGATCTTATCTAGCTTAATAGCTAACAATCTAAATTTATTAAGACTGGTTTGAGTTTAACAGATTAGACAAAAGTTACTATAATCGGTTTTATCTACTACTTTGATATAAAGCACTGTCTTTACAACACAGAAAAACTATAGACTTTATATAGTAATGGAATTTCAGATATGTCATATATGCATGCATGTAACTATACAGTATTAGATAACACTAAGCTACTATTTGAGTAGTTATTACATCAATAATTAAAAATACTTAGTAACTACTAATGCATACTGTGCAAGGCTTCAGTTAAGACTTAATCTCATGAAGCAAGTACAATTAGTATTCACAGTTTTCAAATGAACACATGTATGATTAGAAAAGCTAGGTAACTTGCTCAGGTGATAGGGATTCATGTTAAAAACTGACTCTTAATAGCTCTGTCCTGCTCCCTGGCAGGTGGATAGAGCACAGGACTGCACGCCAGTCTCCTTCAGAACCACTGTGACTCATGATGACTGGATATTTGCCATTTATTTTTACCATTTATTTCTACCTTACGTATAACACAAAATGTTAGGTTGGGTTATGTACAACTTTATTTTCTTCTAAGTGAAATGATGTCAATTTCCATTTAAAAGAACATGTAGTTATTCATTTATGCATATATGTATTTTGTTTTTAAATATTTTTATTGATTCTGGGGCTGGAGAGATGGCTCAGCAGTTAAGAGCACTGACTGTTCTTGCAGAGGACCCAGGTTCAATTCCTGGCATCCACATGGCAGCTATGAACTGTCCTTAACTCCAGTTTCAAGGGAATATGACACTCTCTTCTAGCCTCCACAGCATTGCATGACAGAAGTGCACTCACATACATATAGGCAATTCACTCATACACATAAAATAAAAATAATAAATAAAATAAAATAATAAATATTTTTATTGATTCTTTGAGAATTTCATACAGTGTTTTTTGATCACATTCAGACCCTCTCCCCCATTGCCACCCACTCTACTCCCCACCCCCAACTTCATATCTATTTTTTCTTTTCTTTTTTCTTTTATTGAAAAAGCCGGGGCTGGAAAGATGGCTCAGTGGTTAAGAGCACTGACTGCTCTTGCAAAGGACCTGGGATCAATTCCCAGCACCCACATGGCGGCTACAAACCATCCTTAACTCCAGTTCCAGGGGAACCCGAAGCCCTCTTCTGACCTCCAGGCAATACACTCATACACATAAAATAAAAATAATAAATAAAATATTTTTTAAAAAGAAGAAAAAGGAAAAGCCTATAGAGTCTCATCTGTGTTGCCCAAATACCCTTGGGTGTGGGTCTATTTTAAATAAAGCAAAGGTACTGAGGTATAAAACTTACTCAAATAAATAAATATAACACAGAACAATTTAAACAAAAGAAACTCATCAATGAGTAAAGATAGTTCATATCTGTAGCTCTTGATGTCTATGTGTCACGCCTGTATGTGAACAAGTGAACTGAGATGGCATCTGAAATGCTAGCAGCTGAGGCTTTCCCTAGCAGCTCCGAACTCTAGTTCCAGTTGTGCCACACAAATCAAGCACTGGGGCACTGTTCTGTGCTAAATGCCCATTTACCTACTCAAACATTGCCATTTTTGTATTTTTAATGTAAATTATTTTCCAATAAAAGAAATGGTCACAGTGTCTTGAAAAACTGTGTGTTCTGTATTGTTCCTTGGCAAGATATGCACAAATGAGTGGAAACAAAATGAATACATTGATCTCAGAGGGCTGCCATGAGAATTAAGTGTGCTTTATAGTATGCAACTTTGCTGCCAGTCACCCTCCTTAGTACTATATGACTGTCATCCGGTATCCTGTTGCACACTCTTGCTGTTAACTAAAGAACACTGGATTAGCAAGTGGAGCAGTTTATAATATTTGAATATTTTATTCAGCCATATAATAGCCAAATAAAAACAAGCCAATTCTTAGAGCATATTTTGTACAACCTTACTTATAAAATGAGGGATGGGGCTGGAAAATGGTTTAGATGGTAAAGTGCTTGCTGCATGTGTACTGAGGACCAGAGTTCAGATCTTCAGCACCCATGTAAATACCAGGTGCGTATAGTAGCCTGCCTGTAAACCCACTACACAGGAGGCAGAAACAGGATCCCCAGAGCAGGCTGGTTAGCTAGAGTAGCTGAATTAGAAAGCTCTGGGTTCAACTGAGGGTCCCTGCCTCAAAAACTAAGATAAGGAACAATCAAGGAAGACACCCAACATCAACCTCAGACCTGCACACACGTGCACGCATACACACCCACCCACATACAATGCAAACACACATGCACACATACTACAAATACATAAAGAAATAAAATGAGGGATAATATCTACCTTGGTCATGATGAGAATTATACTAAAGAGACATGAATGGATGGCTGATAAGAAGGATCAATATATTTCATAAATGAACAAAATTGTCATTAATCTATAGTCACATGCTCTACTCTAATTCAAAACAGGAAGGAGGGGGGTAGAGATTGAGATTTTTGCCACGGTTCAGGGATCTATCTTAAGAAAAACTTGCATCTATAGCCTCTATACTATGATCATGTGTCACCTAATGGAGACACATTGTGAGAAACTGTCAGTACATGATTTCATTTTTGTGCAAACATCACAAGTGTACTTACACAAAGCTAGATGGTACAGTCTACTGAACACTTAGGCTATGTGGTATAACTAACTGTTCCTAGGCTATTAAACTTTACAGCATGTTATTTACTAGACACTCTAGGCAACTGCAACACAATTCTAAGATTTGAATATATGTAAACACAGACCAGCATATTAAAAATGTTACCAATTGTCTGCTCCATTATGATCTTATAGGACCAACACAATACATGTGGTCTGACATGGACCAAAAATGTCATTTAGTGGCACATCATTGTAATTACTAAGTAAAATAAACTGAGGTTCACAAGTATATACTTACCTTTACTATTGTTTTAGGGCGTTTTTTAAAAAATAGTTTTGGCTTCTCTACCACAGGAAGAGGTGGGAGCTTTTTAAGCTCCTGTAAAACGGTGGTTGCAGCACGCTTCTTGGAGAGTTTTTTACTATTCCCCTCTCCTTCTGCAGAGAACTCTCCCACTGATACCCGGGTAACAAAGCTCTTCATATGTGGTGGTCCACTTTCTTTAATAACCTATTAAATGTAAGGAAAATACTAAGTAACACACAGGCATTTGTGTCCTTATAGCAAGCATCTTTTTTTGTCATTGTTTTTATTGAATTTTCATGTATTTCATAGAGAATATCTGAAGTGATCTTAATCATTTTCATATCCCTGTCCCCACCAGCACCCTCCCATTGGGAATAAAGGGAAAGAAGGCACTCAAGAGAGGTGAGAACATGGGAGACTGGTATTATCAAGGGAGAAATGGGAGAAATGGAGACACTTTAAATGGGGAAACCATGGTGGAAGGGTTAGACAGGGAACAAGAGAGAGGAGATAAATAATGCCTACCTAATATTAAAAAACCAGAGGGAGTCATATTAGTCCAACAACCTAATGACAAATTACACATACAGTACCTCTACATGAGTCCATGTATATAGCTAAAGGCTACATAACAAGAAACAGTGCCAGACAGGAGAAACTTTCCATGAGTTGTTGGCTACGGTTGGTCCAAGAGAGTCCCAAAATTACACAAGCTATTGTATAGGCTATTGCCACAGACCTTGATGGCCTCCCAGAACTTGAAGGTAAAACCCTACTGCTGAAGACAGAACATACTTCAGACACAGGATTTGGAGCAATAGATCTGGAACTGACCCAAAACCACTCCCCCTGAAAGCTCTCATAGCTTTTGGAAAGCAACAGGAAGGTGCCAAGGGAAAGCATCTTTCTTAATATCCAATTAATGTGGAGACCCAGGCCAAAATTATAGTAATTCTTTAAGAAAACTATTACAAACGAAGGTATGATATCAGGAATGTTCGTATATGACATTTCTGATGTTTAACTATCTAAAGGTGAAAGAAATCTAAACAAATACTTATAATTCATAGTCAATTATGATTTTCTCATGTCTTACAGAACACAAACTAAGTTAAAAATGCCATATTAGCCTGGTGTGGTAGTGTACGCCTTTATTCCCAGCACTTGGGAGGCAGAGGCAGGCAGATCTCTGTGAGATAGAGGCCAGCTTCGTCTACATGGTGAGTTCTAAGCCACCTGTGGCTACAGAGACCCTTTCACAAAAAGACACCTCCAAAAAAGCCTTATTATATATGATCTCATACTAGATAAGCCATCTGGAATGAAAATGAACATTATTGCATATACATATAGGTAATGTTGTCCTCCTCTATCAGAGTAAAGACACCAGAGGTCAAAAATAGTGTGTTATCATTTATCTATAATCTATGAATCCTCCTATGTCAGACTCTCAAAACCATAACATGGATGAAAATTAACTGCTTGCTAGAGACCTCAAAGGCTATTTACAGAAAGGAGTATGAACTTTCATGAACTCTTATGATTTGATCTTAAAATGTACACTGATATGCCATAAAAATGCCTAGGTTTTCAGAATGAGGAATTATGAAACTTTCAGCTATAAATGTTCCTGAACTATTTAATCTACCCTTACTTTTAAAGTATGCCAGCTTGTAGGGCAAAGATGGCTTCCAAATCCCGAATATTCAAAACATTTGTCTCCTTTAAAATTAAAATTCCAGCCTATAGAAGATACAGTATTTGGTAGAGTAATTGTATTGAACTTTAATCTTCTAATACTGTAGATCAATTGGGAAAAGGAATGAAAACAACACAGTATCTGAATAAGGAACTGTTATACGTATACTTTTCAAGTAATTTAAGTTTACTACTTTGAACATCAATTATTCATTTAACCCTGCTGATGTACATGCTTTTCAAATTAAAAAGTAAGCTAATGGAGCTGGAACGATAGCTTAGTCAGTAAAGTGCTTGCTGTGTAAGCATGAGGACCTGAATTCAGATCCCTAGCATCCACGTAAAAACTGGGCACAGCGAATGTCTATAACCACAGCACTAGGTGGGACAGCGACAGCCAACCTACTCAAATCAATGAGATTCTGTGTCAAAAAATAAGGTAAAGGTCCCTGGTTCATTTCAGCTTTGGCACTGAAAGAAAGAAAAAAGTAAAAAAAAAAAAAAAAAAGGGGCAGGAGACTGATCTACTCTATATGGACCTCTAGCCTGTATACACATGCACATAAACAAAAACAGATACCACACACATATACAGAAAGTGATTTACTGACTCAATAGTGACTACCAAATGTTCAACCATTTATTTCCATATTAGATCATCAGCAAGAATATCAAATACTCTACACTATACACATACTGATGTTCCAAAGGACTTCTAAGACTTATAAAACTGTTTTTCTGTTCATTTTAGCCTTTAAAAGATCTCAATGGGGCGCCTGAAAGGGTTCAGTGGTTAAGAACACTGGTTGTTCTTGCAGAAGACTTGGGTTCGAATCTCAGAACCCACATGGCAGATAACAACTGTCCATAACTCCAGTCCCTGGGGATCTGACAGCCTTTTCTGACCTCTGCGGGCATTGCACAACACAGGTGCACTAATCTACATGCAGGCAATACACGTGTACACATAAAATAAAAATAATAAAATATTTTTTTTTTAAAAGATCTCATTGCTGGGCATGGTTGAGCACACCTTTAATCCCAGCACTCGGGAGGAAGAGGCAAGCGGATCTCTGTGAGTTCAAGGCCAGCCCGGTCTACATAGTGAGTTCCAGGACAGCTGGAGCTACAGGGAGACCCTGTCTCAAAAGACCAAAACAAAAAGATCTCAGTAACTTCTGGGTAGATGCCAACTGCTTTTAATATGCTTTACATGTTTTCCCAGTCATTTCTTCCTGGAACCAACATTCCATCAAGCACATTCTCTTTCCACCTTCCTCATTTTGCTGCTTTTAATCTGTACAGGTTAAGAAATCAGGTAATCTGATTTACAGAGTTGCATTCAAGAAGAAAGCAGTTTTTCCGTTCAATAATCTTTTCAACAAGTACAGTGTGGGAGCTACAAAGTGAATAATGTAAACTCTGAAAGACTCTCCACACATTTTGATCTAATTTCCTCATTCTTACCCACTTTCCAGATATAAGCTTCAAAGCTATGACCTCTTAATATAGGAAGCATTATAAAATTATTTTCAAGATTTTTTCTTTTAAATTTCATAGATTCTTATAAAGATGTAATTTATATATTTAGCTGTAGAAAACAACTTCATTCCTTTTTAATGATCCATCAGTTAAGGTTAAACATATTTGGGGTACGCAAGGGTAACTCATGATTCCCAGCATCTACCCTAAAAGAGTTTAAATATATTTTGACCTCCACACAATTAAAAGTAATTGGATGGTAACACAGTATCACTAAACATTAGTTTGGTAACTTGTATTAAACAGGATCAACTTAAATGAAATAAAATACAAAGTCCTACAGGGTATCAAAAATTATAATCAGAAAATAAATTTTATGTTGAAAATTGAAATATCATGTATAAAAGTGTCTCAGTACAGAAAAGACAGAGCTCAGCAGCACAATAATGTCCATTTCCATGACAGTGAGTCTGAATGCAAGAAGCATATGCACTCTCAGGACTCAAGTACACCACTTAATTTGTTTAAAATAAACAGAAAAACACATGAGTACATACCTCAAAACTGACAGGCATATTTCTCTTCAGAGCGATTTCAAACACTAAGCTTATCTCAGATTTATTTGCATCTTTGTCATCATCCATTTCTTTTCCCGATTCACCATTCTAAATCACAAAAAACAGGGTAACATTGAAGATAGACTTTATAGACTTAAACTTCACGTTGTTCTACAATCAAGAGGACCTAGCTAAAATACAGTTAGAAACAGCAGACATGGGCCGCAACCAGTGGATTCTCAGAGAACCATTACAGTCAAAAGCTTTGCTGCCAGACTTTCAGATATCTGAATTTTATTTTTTACTTGAAGTAGAAGCAGTTAATGTTGTTTGAAAATCTTCTAATCAACCATATTCTTCTTTTCAGAGTTATCCAACATTCCTAGGATTGCAGGATTGCCTAACCACCTCACGCCCACAGAACTCGCCCTACTGTTCTATGAAGATTACACCATGGAAGGGATATAAGATGCAAACTGAGAAATCAAAACTGTGTGTCTGGCACTAGCACTGTTCATTTATCCATGCATTTAACACATACTTCTGGAGGGCCTAATGTGTGCTGAACAAAGTTTGTTAGCAATAAAGACATAATTCTTGCTATCAAGAAGCTTACAGTCTAATTGGAAAACAGACAAATGGTTAATACAATGAAAATATATCAGCAGAAAAACACCTAACTCTGCCATTATAGCAAATCTCAAAAAAAGAAGACACCATGTGTAGAGAAAGGGTAATCGCAGAGGTTGAACTGTAGGGTTTGAACTAACTAAGCAGAAAAGAATAAGCAGCTGACCATACAATAGGACATGACTGAACTAGATACTACTGAAGTCAACAGAGAAAGCAGCTGAAACCAGGAGAATAGGTTAAATTACTCAAGAAGAGCCTTAATAGTCTCATTTGTAAAATAAAGGATTCCAAAATCTTGTATAATCTCTTCCACTTCACATTTCTTGATCCCGGGTTAACACAATGTAATCTATGCTCAATATAAGCTGCACTGACTGAAAGCAAATGAATGTTACCCTTCATCTTTATACACACATATTCCCAAACCTCACGTTGCTTGACAAGTGAATTCCACAAGTGAACCAAAGTTCTCAAAGGCAGGGTCCTTGCAGCACGATCATTTGGGTCTACAATAGTAACAGGCAGCTAGCAGGCAAATTCTAGCATCTTTCCTTAGCTGAACAGGAAAGGAAAGCACAGGAAAGAGATTGTCAAACTCAGCAGTACCACACCTGAGGAGACTTTTCTGGAATAGGTTCATTCTGCAGTGCCTGAAGGGCTTTCATCGCAGCATTGTGTCTGGCAGCTTGTCGAGTCTTCCCTTCACCAAAGAATTCATTATTTCCTACAGTCAACTGAACATAAAAGATCTTGGGCATTGGGCAATGATACCTATAATTAGAAAACACAAGCATTAGTGTTAGCTCAATAAAACCAGCCTATAAGATCTATTTCACTTAAAATGTTACCCAGTATGTAATGTGCTACACATCCTCTTACTAACCCCAATAAAATTTTAGCCTCATGAATGTATTTTTAAGGTAAAATGTGAGTCAATATATCTACACATACTAGTGTATACTGATTTCTAAGAAAACTATATAGAATATAACATTAACATAAATTAATGCAGTAAAAATTATTTAATTATATCACAGAAGACTTTCTAATGAATTTTTAGTCAGATTTTAATAGAAAAGAACTGAAATGTTTGCTGCTGAGAACAGGGAGCAACTACAGAAACTGGAGAGAGGTGAGCCCATTTAGATGACAAAGTGTAGATTATTGGGCTTGTAGTGAAGACGGCTCTAACAGAGATGTAGGGGCAGAGAAATGAACTTAATATGATGCAAAGTAATAAAGACATCACAATCAACATAACAAAAACTAAGGAATTTCTACCAATTCTTTTACAAATGTTTATTTATTTATTTATTTATTTACATATTTATTTATGTATTTACTTATTTTTGGTCTTTTTGAGACAGGGTCTCCCTGTAGCCCCAGCTGTCCTGGAACTCACTATGCAGAACAGGGTGGCCTTGAACTCACAGAGCTCTGCCTGCCTCTGCCTCCCAAGTGCTGGGATTAAAGGCATGCACCACCATGACCGGGACAAATGTTTATCTTAAACTGGTACACCATAACTGTACATATTACAGGATTTCATGACAGTTCATCATGTACACAATGTGCAATGGTCATATTAGGGTCACTGGCATATGTATCACAGACATATGCCATTTCATTGTGTTGGGAGCACCCAAAATGTTACCTATTTTGAAATACTCAACTGACTTTTGTCAACCACAGTTATCCTGCTGTGCTACATAGAACATTAGGAATCAGTCTTCCAATCCAACTGAACCCCACTATCTCCTCCCCATTCTTCTTCCTCAACACCTTTTCTAGGATCTAGTAACTATTATTCTATACTTCTTTAACATCAAATTATTATCTTCCAGATATATGTAAGAGAATGCAGTACTTTTCTTTCTGTGCCTGATTCATTTCACTTAACATGATGCCCTCTAGCTCTATCCCTGTTGCTGCCTATAAAAGAATTTCATGGGCTGGGTGTGGTGGTGCACGCCTTTAATCCCAGCACTCAGGAGGCAGAGGCAGGTGGATCTCTGTGAGTTCAAAGCCAGCCTGGTCTACATAGTGAGTTCCAGGACAGCTGGGGCTACAGGGAGACCCTGTCTCAAAAAAAACCAAAAAAAAAAAAAAAAAAGAATTTCATTATTTTATGGCTGAATAACATCCCACTGTACACATAAACTATACTGTCTTCAGTCATTCATCCACTAATGGCACCGAGGTTGATTCAAAATCTTGGCTACTGTGACCTGGCTGTTAAGCGTGTGAGCGCAGATGCCTCTTCAACATTAGTTCCTCTGGTAGCAAGACTGCTGGATCATATGGCAGTTCTATTTCTAGGGTTGGTTTGTGTTGTCTTGTATTTCTGAGGAATATCCATGCTGCTTTCCACAGTGAAGGTACTAATTTACACTCCCAACAAGTGTGTGAGAGCTCCCTAGTCTCCACTACCCTATATTACCCTGGCAGCTCATTGAGGTTTGATGTAAATTTCTGGGATGACTAGTGGTGCTGAGCAGTTTAAATCAATTCTTAAGTGAGAAGTATCGTAATAAAATGTACTTAGAGTAAAAAAAAATCTATACAAGTTTGTATTCAGTGAGACTGAGGTTGCAAAGCATGACTGGAAAGATGTGACTATGCAGATCTGAAAAAGATATTAGACTAAAAGAAGAAAATAGCCAGAAGAAATTAAAGAGAAAAAGGAAACTATGTAGTAAAAATCTGTTAGTGCAACAATTATTTCTGGAGTACTTTCTATATGACAAGATACCACCAGAACAAACATTACAGTGGAGAAGACAATAAGACACAGGGAATACCTAGTATCCCTACAAGATAAACCTACAAGAAAAAGAGGGAAGGATTGAAGTATCAGGTAACTGATTTAGACAAGGTAGCTAAGGAGGGGTCCAATGAGAAAATGACAACTTTGTAAAGACTAAAATAAGCAAGGAACCAAACCACACTGGAATCTGGGACACTGCATCTGAGGTAAACAGAATACCAAGTGCAAAGGCCCAGAGACAAGAGTGCCACACATGTTCAAGTAACTGAAAGGAGGCCCATCTAGCTAGAGTCGAGGCAGTGAGGAAGAAAAGCCAGGAAATGAGAATAGGTGGTCAAATTCTACAGGTTCTTCCTTAAAAATCATTATAAGGGTCTGGCTTTTACCCTAAGTGAAATGGACAGATATATCAAACAGAAAAGGTACATAATCCAAATTATATTTGGGAATATTATCTCCAATGTTGAGGGTAAACTGAAAGGGAAGGGTGGTGGAAGTAAGAAGACCTGATAGGAGGCTATGAGATAAGTTAGGAAAAGGGACTGGGTATAATAGTAAAACTGACAAGTCCTTGAATCTGCATGGATTTTGAAAACAGAACTGGGATTATCTAAGGACTGGTTATGAAATATAAGAAATGGCTCAAGGATCACTGCAGGGTTTTGGATGGAAAGAACTAGAAGGTAAAGTACACACTGAAGCACTACAGACCACAAAAGGAATGTGGTTGCTGGGGGTGCATGCTAGCAACTTTTTTTTAGAGATGTGAAATTATTGTACCTACAGATTTAGCGGATACAAGTGTGTAATCATATTTATGAAGCTGGACTCTAGGAAGAAAGTCTACGGCCAAGATAAAATTTGGGAATCGTCAATATAACGATGACACTTAAAGCTATAAGAAAATGTAACAAAGACTAGTAAGCATGGTGTCCATCTTGAAAGCCATATATGGAAAAACTATGTTAAAGAGGAAGGAGGGACTAATTGTATACAATACTTACAGACCAAGTAAAATTATGACTGAGACATACATGATTACTGAATTGAGCAATTTAACACAGCGAACAGGATCAATTTTGATTGAATAATGGATTTATACTTGTCGTAGTTAAAAAAAAAAAAATCCAGCGCTGGAAAATGTTTCCCAACTAAAACTTCAACAAAGGTCCCCCCCCCTTTTTTTTTAAACTATGCTGAGGATTGAACTCAGGAGCTTACACATGGTAGGCAAATCCTCTACCACTGAGCTACCTCTTCAAACTCAAGATCCTATCATGTTTTAAGTGATTATCAAATATTCAAGTAGTGGTACCCTACAGACAGTTTGAGATAAACTAGAGAGAGCCCACAGTGTTAGAATTTACTGGTCAGATGGGACTAATCAGTGAAGGTTCACTGAAGGTGAAGGACTAGAAACCAGTACCAAAGATGCAGATTAGTGAGGCAATAATTGAGAGCATGTGCATGAATAAACACCTGGAAAGGGTAAACATAAAGGAGCCCAAAAGAGCCTAAGGCTGGGATCTGACTGATGTGAATGATCAAAGTGCAGGGGAAACAATAGATGGCAGAGAAGGAGATGAAAGAGGGTCCAGTTAGAAAAGCAACTGCAGCATAACGTCAGGGAGAGGGGGCTAATCAACAGTGTCTAACAATGTGGAGAAGTCCGGAAAGGAAAAAAAGAAGAGGCCGCTGTTTAAACTCTTACCACCAATTTTCACAGCCTCCAGTTTTCTATTAATTTAAAGTAAGATGTTTAAGTGAACATGTCATATACTCTTGATTTTTATATTTTAAAATATTTTAAAAGCTAAAAATTAAAAGCCACAATCTTTTTTGTTCTTTCATTACAATAACTAAATAAGGTACTAAAGGCACAATTCCCTATTAGCCATTTTAAATCCCTTTAATGCAGAAATCTCAATAGACTACTATGAAGAATGTTCACTGTCTTCACTTTGTATTCCACAAAATTCAGTTTTCCCACCTCCACAGAAATGTATGCATATTTTAACTGGTTCTCTAAAATTTTAAAACAGACGACTTGAAATCAGAAATTTACTCCTGAACTGATCTTACATAGCAAGCTTTCCCCACACAGCAAATGCTTACAATTAATTATAAACTTCTGAAAATAGAGGTCCACAACTGGAATGCTAACAGGCCTTTAACTACAGTACAGGGAGTGGGCCCCACTGTAATCACTAAGGTCTGCTGACAATTACAAAACTCATTTTGGTTTGCCACAGAGACAAACAAAATTTCTGTTCATTATAACTTTACTGGAATATGATGTCATAACATAACCATACTGAAACAATCTGCTGATTTTCTAACCGAAATATTAATTGCACACACTAAAGAACCCTTGGGGCCTCTTCCTTTCCAGCCATCAAATATGGCTCTATGTATGTATACGGGCATGGATGTTGATATATGTGGATATATAAATTATATCGTATAATATCAGAGGGAAAATTAAGTGTATTGCATTTTTTGTATAAAAAGTAAAATATTCTTGCAGTAACAACAGGAAATACCAAGAGCGGATGCCTGACTTGTTTCATTCCAGTTTCACTTCATTCTCTTGAGTAATAATGATTCCTAATAATATACCCCACATGGCTTGAATACCTTACACATCGTATCTTCTCATAGCATCATGACAATTAAGATAAGCCAGAGCACTCTGATTAATGGCATCCAGACTGCCTACAGGAGATATGACGCAAAATGCTTCATCAAACAGAATACTGTGTGCCGAGGTCCTTGCCTCTAAATACTTCCTATGGTAAAGAAACACCCAAATTTTAATAACTTTAAAGGTTGATATGTTCTACTTACTGGAGTTCCTTCAACTATTTGCATTTATTTCAAGCACTAAGCTCAATTTTGACAATCTTCAACATGTGATGTACCCGTTTCTATAAATTAGTATATATTTAACTAATCAGCTAGATTTTGTGCTCAATGCTTAGATTTCCATACTTAACTATTGTTG